CAAAAAAATATACGTATTTTGGAAATGTTGAGTCGAATTAGTCTAGAATCGATTAATTTTATGAAAGAAAACCTTTCAAACAGCCGTAGTCCGTAAACTATGATTCCTACAAAATTGATTCATAAAGAATGGAACGTATCTACCGTCTTATAGGGGGATCTACTGTATTTCATCATTAGTTTTGGCCTTGAATGGCAAATCTACTTGTGTCACCTTTGCATGTAGTTTTATAGCTTATGTGTGTTCCAAGACAAATTTTTTCTTCAATTGTGGGCCAAGAAAGCCAAAAGGTCAGACACCCCTGCTCTAAATTTAAAATTGTAGTTGTTTCTAAAATAATTTGAATATATAAATAATTTATAAAGTAGAAATATAAATAGAGATTTAATTTAATGAAAGAACTTTTTAATTTAAAAAATTTAATATAGAGAAAGTTCAGTTTCATTTAATTATTATCTAATATTTGAAACAAGAATTTTCTGTAAACCTTAAAGATTTAGAGAAAGGTCTTGTTTTGATTATTAGGTATTAGTTTAGTATATAAATCAATAAATTTAAATCCTTTAAGGCTTTAAAATTATTATGTTTTATATATTTATATTATATTTTATAATAATATATATATTTTTTATATATTATTATAAAATTCCTTTTTTAAAAATTTACTACTTTTTCTGTAGGGAAAAACTCTTACCAAAAGTTCTCAAAAATGAAAGTAGAGAACCAAACAGTAATTTTCTATGACTTTAAAAATTTATAGAAAATTAACAAATTATGTTATTAGGAGAATTAAATAAAATGTAATACAAAAAACTATTTGGTTCTCTCTAACTTCCATTTTCGAGAACTTTTGGTAAAGTGTTTTTCCCCATAGAAAAAGCAGTAAATTTTTTTAACATTGCTGAATATCTTGTGCATAAGCAAAGAGGTTATAATTAGCCTTAAAAAATAAAAAAGAATGGAATTTTGTAAATTTTTTCTTTTATTTCTGAGATATTTTTTAAATATTTTATTTTTATTTTAAACATTTTTAAAGAATAATTCCTAATTTTAAATAATAATATTCCTCCTTTAAAAATTAATTTTCACCAAAATAATATCAGTTTTGTGTATATTTTTGTAGTTTTATCTTCCAAATATAAATGTAAACAAATTATTGATTCAGATTACGAAGATGACGATTTAGACGACTTCATTGACGACACTCCAATAGATGAAAACATAGACGTCTCTCGTCAAATCCAAGAAATATTTCGCTACAATAAAAACAAGTTTGTATCTTTTACAGATTTAGCATTTACATTGCATGTATTTATATTTGTTATTTAAACCAATAACAAATTTTTCAGATACAGAGATGATGATTATGACGACGATGACGACATTATGGAATCTAGTTTTGTTCAGCAAATGAAAGAGGAATGCAGGAGGTAAATTTGTTAAATTCATTAATAAACAGAATTTTGGGGCTGGATTCACAAAAATGTCATTAATAATAATATTGTTAAATGATATTCTTTAAATAAAGCTGTTGTCTGACTACAAAAGATATTTTGAATGTTTAGCAGTAAAGTTAAAATAAAACCTATTTTAAATGAAGGAACTGTAGAAATGAAATTATACAATTACATGTTTATTTATAAAATATATTAACCTCGCATAATATATAATTTGATTAAGTTGTTCTAATCAGTCTGAAAAGCTTATGGAAATAGAAAGTGTGATTGGAGAGATCAATTCAAGAAGGATATAAGTCATTAGACCCACATTTCAAGATATACAAAACAAAAACAAAAACCAATGCTACCATCAAAATATTTGACTTCAAGTGTCTATGACAGCCCACAATTACATGGAACATATATTTCTATTGTATGAACAGATGGGGATGCAAGCAAAGAGGGTGAAACCACTGATAACTCAAAGCCAGTCATTTGGGACTTGCACCACTTCAATTGATGTTCATTACAATAAGAAAATTAACTTACTTTAGTCAAATTTTACATCTAACTAATTAGTTTAGATGATGATATTTTATTAATAAGAAAATTATTTCTTAAAATGGATTATAAACTATCACTGTGGAAAAATTTAAAGTGCATACAACATGAATATCCACTAGAACAGTGGTCAGCAACTGGTGGTCCATGGACCATTGATGGTCCATGAGAAAATTTGGGTGGTCTGTGGAGAAATTTGGACATTGATCAACTGAAGGTTACGCAAAGTATTACGAAAGAAATGCAAACTGCTTAGTTGCTTTTTTCACTCATTGGGTTTTTTATTCGAATCTAAAACCAAATACGAAGTGACTGTTATCAATAAATAATGAACAATAAACAATATTGTGAGTGCAATTGTCGTCCTTTGTTGAATAGTGCTAAGAATCCATAAACTTAATTCAAACAAGCAGCAATGAATTTTAAGCTTGCATTAATTTGTTATAATTAAACAAACGAGTTTCATATTAATATAGTAAAATTGAATTTTTATTATCATTATTCTACAGATTTTGTATCATTTAAAAAAATTCATGATAGTGGTCCGCGGGATTCAAAATTGTGAGTTTAGTGGTTCGTGAGGTCAGAAAGGTTGCAGACTGCTGCACTAGAATCCATATGTTCTCTTAGTGCATTTTAATATTTAATCAGTATTCCTTAATTAAATTAAAAACTACTTTTGATGATAATATTTAATAAGTTTAAAAACTATATCATCATGGAGTAATTAATGGATTTATCATGCATGTTTATGCTCATCATTGACCATAAGATGTTTCTTTTGCCATTTTGAAATGGTGAATAATGACATATTTGCTAAAATAATGACAAAGACGGTTCAATATGAAAGTGAAGACCAAAAACAGTTCAATTAGTGGCATGTTTTGCAAATATGTTAAAGTGTTGTTATACNTGGGGGACAAAAAACAATTTTCTGGGTGATATAGTAAAACATTATATTAAAAATAATTAGATATTTTATTTGTTATATCGTACAATAATTAAACAAATAACATTATACTAGTCACTAGTCTATTCAATGTAGTACGAATTTGGCGTTAGCCTTGGCCCTTGGCATTGGAATTTTGAAGTGAAGGGGGCGATACTATGTAACGGTTTTATTGAAGGGGCAACGATTTGTTACAGGTTGAGAAACACTGGTTTAGTGGGTTCTTACTAGCCTTTTTGGAACCTAGGTTTCTCATTATTACCCCGTTTTAGGTAGGGGTGTTTTTGGTTTTATACCCTCCTTTTCTGGTGTTTCTTTTGATGGGATCAGTAAACATTTTGCATGGCAAGTGAGATATTCCTTTGGGGAAACAGAAATATCTGTGAACCTCACACATCTTTGTAGACTTCAACGCAGCCACAAATGTCATGTTTCAAAGATGCACTTGAGGTGACCATGCTCCAGGCCTCTGGGTAAGGTATGTTGTTAACTGTTTTTATGTGCTTAATCTCTTTCTCTCTTTGCCATGCAGGGCATTTCTGAGAGTAGGCAGGATGGGCATCCTTGCAACTCACACAGCATGGGGTGCTTTTACATTCAGCACTGTCGTGACCTTCAGTTCCACACTGTGCATGTAAGCTTTTACCTCGGCATGATGTTTGTGAATGTCCAAACCATTGGCATTTAAAGCAACGCAGCAGATTTGGAATATATGGACGAACTGAACAGCACAAATATCCATCCTGCTGTAGCAAAAGATGGCAATGTCGGCTTTCCAAAAGTGAGAATAAGGTGTTTAGTTGGTATCAACTTGCTGTCTCGATGGATCGAAATTCAGCGAACAGCAGTGACGCCTTGGTCTGAAAGACTGATCTGAATATCTGATTCATCCTCAGACATCAGATCGATTTCAGATATCACATCACATGATGAGTTCAAACTTGTGTGTGGTGTGATGGTGACTTGTATGTCTCCTAGAGACTTCGTTTTCAAAAGCTTTTCTGACTGTTAAGGGGAGGCTGCTTCTACAAGTAGATCTCCTGACCTCAATTTTTTGATTTTTTTAAGATGCCTAATGGTCAATTCGAAGAGTTTCTGAATTAAGAAAGGAGAATGTTTAGACAAAGGTGTTTCTCCCATATCATTAACAATAAGGTAGGCTGGTTGATTGGGGGAACTGACATCCCTTGGTGGTAATGCATCGGTTACTGATGTTTTAGGTTTTAGTGCATCCATATTTAGAAATAATTATTCAGCTCCTAGTGACTCCACCCACCATGGGGCCCAACAAGGGGATGCCATCACATGGGAGACTCCCATAGACCGTCACACTAGGGTTTCCCAGAAGCTATACCCTCACAATGCATTCAAGAAGAGCACATCTTGTCTGATGTGTCTGCCCGGTCTGCATCGATCAGTTGACTCCAGGCCAAGAATGACTCAATGACCAGTTGATTGACTCAAATGGAGCCTGATTTGAGCATCCCGTTTATCTGAGGTAGGGGCCGAAGCAGTGATGTTATGTTGCCCCTCAACTACCAGGATCCCCCTTTCCGGCATATGGGCCACCACGCACGGCAAACATGTGGGTGGTCATTCAGATTCTAGGGATGGTAAAGAAGAGTTACTAAACCATCTCTGGGAGGTCCCCTCACTATGGACAGGAACCCATATCAAGGGGTTTTTCTTCCTTTCAAAATATTTAAAGGTTTGATTTTAGTTGATTTAAAAATACAAATAAAGTCTGCTATATTTGGCAATGTTTCTACGATTTTAGAAATATGTAAGTTGAGTACATAAAGTCTTTTACGTGAATTTAACTAAACCAATGTATTCTTTTTGGGTCGTAAATGGATTTACACCACTTTCGTGATCATGCAATGTCATGATTATGCAATGGTTATGCAATGTCATTTACTGACAAATTTTTAATTGATCAAAGTATATGGTTATTATAAAATACTAAGTGTGAATTGTTTATAAATAAAAAGTTTACACTAAATCATATGTAAATTATACAGATTTCTCATTGCCTGACTTGGCATAATTAATTTATATTTTTGAATTGACTAATATTCTAACCTTTAATTTTCTTAAAACAACAAAAAATGGATTTGTACCACTTTCAAAATAAACATTCCATATAGTTATATTTTCACTACATAAGAAAGTTTAAATTATAAATTAATATATTAGGCTGACTCATATTGCAATACGTTTTATTATACATTTGAAGGGAATTTTATTTATACTGTACAGAAAGATGATTAGGATTGCCAGATTAGATTAGGTATGTTAACATTAACTTAAATAATTATAAAATTTATGGGATGATCCCAGATTTGAGATAGTTTTCATTAATAATAAAACCATATAATAAGGTATATTAATGATATTTTTATTGTTTGGGAAAAATAAAGAATGCATTTTTCAATTTATTGAAACAATAAAACAGAGCAATGAAATTAATATGGTATATGGGGTTTCTATTAGTATGTTAGCACATCCTCATTAACATCTTAAAACATTTTAGTATACAATATCTTTCAAAAAGAATACTACCATTTTAAATTAGTATAACATGTTAATTATTATCTGAGAACATTGAAGATATGTACAGTACTGTACATTAAAACACTGCAAAACTGTTCAAATTTCACATTTGCCCATTACAATTTCTTAATGCATGCATCCCATGTCACATGGCACACATCCAACCAAAACTCAAATTCTTCCTGCACTCACTACAGCATATCCATTGTCACTCCTCCTATGGGGGCAGGTTCTGCAATCCCTGTAGATTATTCGTTTTGCACAATAATGAATGAATACAACTTTGCAAACTGCAGAATGCAAAATGCCTTCTCTGTTGCAAAGTTGCCATTTTCATTTACAGTCCTTCTCAGAGGTAGTAGACAATTTGTAAGATGTTTGAAACCTGGACAGTTACTCTATTGATTGGTGTACATCACATACTTCTAAGAAAATAATTTACTGTACATAATTACAGTAATTTAAAATACTTGCATTCATTTTTGAAGACCTACTATATGTAATGTTTTTACAATCATAACTTCAGAATTGTAAGGAAATTTAAAAATGAAATTATTTAAACAAAATTTAACACCCATAATAAAAGAGCTTTTGTTGTACTTTTAATTTTATAATTATTTTTGTCCTACTAAGTTAATATCTGCTTAACTAGCATTAAAAGAAGTGTTGTTATACAATATGTACAAGTCTAAATTCATATACAGTATGTAAGTGTGCAATGGTATATTGAAAAGTATGCCTCCATGGTCATAACTTCTTTTATTAATAGACATATTTCAGAAATACAGATGTAAATGGATGGAAATGGATCATAAAAATGTCTTATATCCATTGAAGTAAGCACTTTTCCACACACAATTCTCATTTACATCAACACACGTATGTCAAGGTGCAACAAGTTATGCAAACCCATCCCTGTAAAAGTCAGAAATCTTCTCTCACAACCACTTCTGTATCTCTACTTCACTAAGGACTGCACTTCTCTTCAAATGCAGAGGTTATCATCTCTGCATTTGAAGAGAAGTGTAGTCCTTGAGATCTTCACAGAGCTTTGGGAACAAGAAAAAATAGAAAGGTGCAAGGTCTGGATTGTAAGATGGATGGGATAAAATGTCATTAAACCAAAGCTTCTCTGTTTCTGTGCTTGTTTACTTGCTCATGTGAGGTAAGCATTATCATGATGAACCCTATACAGACATCACTTCTGATTTCTTAGGGTGACAACTTATTTTTCCTTAGTTGATAGTCTCAGCACGGTCTAGGAAGTCAAGGAGATGAATGATGCCATTGCAGTCCCAGAAAATGGTAATCATGATTTTTCCCACTGAGAAAATTGCTTTAAATTTCTTCCATTGAGGCAAACCCTTGTCAGTACTCTATGGACTGATATTTCATCTCATGGTCATAATGGATTTATCACCATTCAATTTTGTAGAGAAAGGCATCGCCTTTGGTGTTGTAACAAGCCCAGATTTGTTGATAAATTTCTTTTTTCTAATCCAATGTGCAGAAACTTTCCTGTATTGCATCACATTATCTCTGCAATGTTTGTCTGCCTGCATTGTCAACTCTCAAACCAACTCTTCAATGCAAGCCACCTGTCTGTTGTCACACGCAAACACTGTGTGCTTGATCCTTTGGGTTCTTTTCAGCAGGATTCACATTTTTTTACAGTTCTTAATCACCTCCTCATTGTAATGACATCAATACAAGCATCTGCATACACATCACTCAAACATGGATGTCAATTGGAGTCACACATTCTGCAGTAAGAAATTCAATAACAGCTCAATGCTATAACTGTATGTCCATGTAGGTCACCACTTTTAGATATGCAGTGTGCAAACACTATATTACTGAGAATTGTCACTAGGGAACATTTGTACCAAGAATCAAGGTAAATCTTAACCACTTTCAACATAATTTGTCCCATTATCATAAAAGCTATGACCATGGAGACATTTCTTTTCAATACACTCATATATATGTATAGGCATTGTTTAACATTTACACTTGCATTTTTAATAATTTATAAATAATATCATACTACATTAATTGTTATTTAATTTTTCAAATATTGTTTCTTAGAGTAATGATTCAAAATATTTATTTTATATGAAATTAATATCTAAAACTAAATGTTTTTGTTATAAAACTGTATACTCCAAATCAGGGGACCTATTCTGAGCTCTTCTGATAACTCAATGAGAGCGATACACAGGACATTCGATAAGTCCCCTTAGCGAAAGGCAGTTAACGAATCTTAGACAAATCGCTATTCTGTGCTCCATGTTACGTGGGTTTCGCTACGGGTAGTCGGTCAAGATGCATCTGGGTTCCATGCTATCAATAGCTGTTATGCTTTAACCAATCACAGTTTAGTTAACATCGTATTTTTGTCACGTGACTGCAACCTGCTATTTTCTAAGCTAAGCACATGGTTTTAACATTGTTGTGTACCAGTGCTAGTGAAATCATTTTATTTTAAAATGTTGAAGAAAGGCCAACAAAGCCAGCGAACTACAAGTCGCCAGTTCAAGATGCTCGTTAATTTTATAGAAGACAATCCTAAATTAATGTCAGGGAAGTTAGATGCTTTCTTTACCATAAAAGGTCACCAGAAATTGTGGCAAGAAATAGCTGACCGTCTGAATTCCGATGGAGTCGGCTCACAAAAAGACCCAGAAAGATGGCAAAAAGTAACTGAGAGCTTAGAATATAAATATATAAATATATGACTATCATTTTAATTTATACATATGCAAATGAAACGTATTTCAGAAAAATGTTTATGTTATAACTATTTACTTTAAATTTTAACAAGAAAGCAATTATATTATTCATACAATATTCATAAATACTTAAGGTAATTATTTTTAAGCAATACAACAACATAATTTATTAACTCTCTCTCCAATTGCTCGTGAAGTAAAATCGTTCTTACACCAAAAGATGCCATATTGTTTATACTTTCGTTATGTTTTTTAACGGCAGGTGGAGAGTGACCGATAACAAAAGCTTAGTTATTGCACATGGCTATCAGAACCGAAAACAAAATGTACGGCTCAGAATAGCATTTTCATGGTTGATTAAACGCAAATCACGTGGTTCCGATAGAAACGGGTTTTTATCGTATTTGTTAGCTTAACGATACTATGCAGAATAGGCCCCCAGGACTGTCCAGCCTGCATATCACATGCGGCCCAACATAAAATTATAAACTTCCTTAAAATATTGAGATCTTTATGTACTTAATTTTTTAATTTTTTGAAATTTGTGTGCTGTTTAATTGTTTTATTTTTAAAAAATTGTCACAAGATGCCA